ATTTTGTCTTTGTTGTCGCTGGACGGCATTAGCATCAGAGGACTATGGAACAGCTGTCAAACAGCTTAGTTTTGCAAGGTCATTTGTGGATTGAGGAAGACTACTTGAGAGCTTGATTTATTTGTTTATAAATTTAAGGTAAATGTAACTCATTTTCAAATACTGTGATTCATCAATTAAAGTGCATGCTAGAAGGAGGGTATAATTTGTTTGGAGGATAACAAGCAGTTTTAAAATAATCAGCAAGAAAACAGCCTGACGGTTAACTATGAATAGAAATAATGACGATTGTTAAGATAATTTTAAGGAAGCATGAAACCAAAAAGATGGTTTCTGAAAAAGCTAAAGCTAAAATGAAATTCCAGTAAACAGCAAAAAGCAATAACAGATTAAAAAGGCATTAAAATTAGCTTTTAATTAAAAAAACAAAGAAACAGACCTCAAGAGTATGGAAAAAATCCAATTCCTACCTTTTATGCTATGGACCTCTATTAAGATAATGTCCCACTGTTGGGTTTGGAGATTAGCTTCCAATTCCATTATCCTCCTCCACTTTTCCCTTATTTTCAAGAATGAGGTGTTTTTTTCGTTTTTTGTTTTTTAACAATCTTAAGGTTAGTATACGAGTCCCCCCCCCAAGATGACAACTCAAAAAATAAAATTTTATATCTTGATAGGCGAACTCTTATTAGAAAAACATAAACACAGTTTTCATGTTTAACGCCTTTGGAAATTTTTTTTTTTTTAATAGGTATCAAATCAATTTTATTGAATTAATGAGTGGGGATTTTGACTAGTGGGAAGATTACATCTGGTATTTCATTTGTATACTGGCTGGGACATAAAGTTATTTGACTAGCACCATATTTAGTTAATTGAGAATAACAATAATATGTGTGTATTTTTCTACAGAACTTCTTTCTTTTTTTTTTTAATATTTTATTGTACTTCAGGTGAAGGCTTACAGAACAAATAGTTTCTCATGAAACAGTAGTACACGTGTTGTTTTATGACATTGGTTAACAACCCCACAACATATCAACCTTCTAACTTCTCAACCTTTTTTTTTTTTTTT